ATCCTTTATTTCATGACCTAAGTTCATAAATAAACCGTAATTATTAATTATATTTGTAAAATTTTAACCGGGTTTAGTTAAGTCATAATGAAGAAGGGAATTTGCAGATCTTTAGATTCTGCTAAACAAATTAGAATTAAAGGAACTTCACAAAACGACGATAAAGTCAATGGAAAAGAAGTAAATCGAAATGGAGTTAGTTATTCATACAGAGCTTTTTTAAATTATCAAAATTCAGAACTTTATGACTCGAGAGATGGATTCTAGATATTATAAAATTAACATTATGCCTAAATATTAAACCTCTCAAAAGAGGGGAAATGAAGAGAATTAAAATTAAATCCAAATTTTATAAAGAATATATAGGTGCTATTGGGTGAATTTATTCAAATTTAAATGCTATGAATCTTCAAGATCTTTGTAAAATTAAGTGTTTAATATATTTTCGGCGTATTTCGTTTGATTTATTTCAATCTCTAACTTTTAAATATACAATGGAAATTCAATTAATTAATATTTTATTATTTTTTGAGTTTAAAAAAGTTTGAAATAAATTGATTTAATTAAAGGAAATCAAATTACATATTTTTTTAATATCTTAAAAATAAGATATATAAACAATTCTAATATAATGTTAAACCATATATTTACAATCTTAAGTTACATTTCAAGAATCATTCTGATCTTATCTAGTTTAAAAAACTATGCGATCTCTCACTATTTAATGATCTAAGAAAATGGGAATTTTTATCCTGTGATTTTTCGCTTACCATCTCATAAGGCTGTTCGCATGCTGTGTATCCTCAAGAAGTAATAATTTAAATCAATTTTATAAAATTGGCAGAGTAAAACGCGTGTGGAATAAAACGCTTATCCATATCTTTCAGAAATACTGAGCCATATATGATAAGATTTTTGAACATTTGAATTTTTTTGCGTTACCTCTCTTAGAAATACATTGTTTATTTATAATTTATCTAAATTTTAAAATAGACCATTTGCTAGAGTCGTATAAATGTCATAATTTTAACATGCACCGAATCAAATTATAAAATATTAAACGTATTAATTCAACCCACCAAAGATCGGAAAAAACGCAATATGTCACTCTAAGGGAAAAAGAATTATTGTCACAGAATGGAATGAATTATCTCATAATAAACCCCTATTTGCGTAGATTAATTTTTTAAGAGAATCCGCCATCCTAAATGATTTGGGAATTTTTTTCACTTTAATTTAAAAAACTAATTAGAACCTAGGTGGCCTAAGGATCGGTTAACATAATTAATATGTTGAAATGAAACTACATTTTATATGCATTGAGAATGAATTCAATGAATTGAATAACTATCTAAATAAAATATTTAAGCATAAATTAACCTTTTGTCAAAATGATATTTAAATAAAACATAATTTATCGGTTTATTAAATCAAAAAATTAATTTGAGGTTTTTAATAAAATTATTAGTTTGAAAAAATTATTTGGTGTAGCAATAAATTATATTTCTTATTGAGTGTTTGTTTCAAATTTGAGATTTCACGGTGACATTCAGTTTAAGTTTGAAAGGGAATTAAAAACTAAATTATATTGATCAAGACAAAAAATGGAAAATAAATCAAAATATTAGATCAAAAAATTAATAATCCGAATAAAAATTTTAAAAAGGATGGAGTGGTGGGTAATCTTTAACAAATTTAAAGGGATTTAGCACTCCACTGCCTTCTAAACAAAATTATTTAATCTATATTTAATATGAGTTCGAATAAGAAATAAAATATAATGTGGCCATCTAGCTAAACCTGAGAAGGAATTCAAATATGTTAAGAAAATATAAATCTTGTTTAGCTTATATATAATAATAATAATAATTTAGTTGTTATCAAATAATTAAGATTTTTTAAATATTTAATTAGAGGAGTTGAACCACTTTTTTTATTAAATATTAAATACGATTAACATAATATATGACAAGAATTATTTGATAATTAATAAGAAATTCTATATTGCCACTGGCGCTATAATTTTAGTAATCCGATAAAGGCACATTTTATTTTAAATATTATATTGTATCTAGGCTGAGTTCTATTATTTTTTTTTTACAAATTGAAATACGCTAAACCTATTTTGTATATATCTATAAATAAACAAATTATTATGACTGTGATTTAAATTTTTATAAAAAAATCAAACCCAACCTAAATTTATTTTATTTTTTTGACTGGCCTAGATTTGTAGACTTTAATCACTTATATTTTTATAAAAATCTTTCCATTTAAATAATTTAGGTATTTTTTTGTAATTTAAAAAAAACTTCTTTTACCATTTTTCAAGAAGTAAATTTATATAATTTAAAATTTAATATCGGATAGGGTTTATAATTTATTTTTAAGCGCGACACGGGTTACTAAAATTATACTTTTTAAGGAGTATCAAGAGTTAGATAAAGAAGCTTCTTCAAATTTGGGGCCGAGCCTACTGGTCTTTGACTCTCATAAATAAAAAATTCTTATTCAATATTATTAATAATGAAGAATTTAGACACTTCGTTTAAATGATTTTGAGATCGGGTCGTAGTCATAGTAATTTATTATCAAAATTTATTATTTAACAAAATAACTAAAATTATTGTTAGCAAAATTTTACAAAACTAAAAAAGTTTATATTAATAAAAATTTCAAAATTATTTTAAACATAAAAAATAAAGTATTAATAAAGATTTTCAAAATTATTTTACACAAAAAATAAAGTATATCTAAACTATAAAAAAATCGTCCCTTTTATAGGGAAAATAAAATGCGCAATTATAAATTAAAATTAAATTGGCGCAAAGTGAAAAAAAGAACGTTTTTGTGGAAACGAGTTGTGTTAGTTTTATCGTACATAATTGGGGATAAAACCTACCCCCCCCCCATACTTCCCGAAACTCAAAATATACCTTGGGATGCAGAGTAGTCTCCCGGACCTAACGGTCTAACTCATATTTTCGGATCACCTTACTGAAGACTCCTAAAGTAAGAAATCCAGTAAAGTGAGAGAAAACACAAAAGCCATATGTTTTACTTTCACTGTGTTTAACTTAAAATGAAAGGGACCAAAAAGAGAAACCTTTTTTTAACTTTCATTTTATTGTAAACAAAGGAGGGGTATTAAAAAACTTTATAACTTTAACATAAACAAAAGAGGGGGATTAAAAAAACTATTCATCTTAACCATAATAAAAGAGGGGGATAAAAAAACTTTTTTTTTCATCTTTAACAAATAATATGTAAAAAAAATATTTATTTATGCTTGAATTGGCATAGTAAAAATCAGTATAAAAAGTAATAATGGAAATCCATATATTTTCTCAGAATTTTTTGTTTATTTATTTTCTCTCAATTTGATATTAGTAAATTCAGATGTTTTTGCTATGTAAAATTTTTTTTCTTCTTCAAAATATCAAAACAAAATAATTAAATTTTGTTTTGATTCGGTATTATATTTATAATATTTTTTTATATCCGATTTATTAAAAAAATATAGTTCCCAAATTTTAATATTTTAAATTTTTGAGAAACTTGTTAATATAGAAAAACAATATAACTTTTAGTAAAATAATTTTCATTTTTTCATTATTCGATTTTATTAATCTTAATTTATTTAAATTGATTTTCGAATATCAAAACTCTTATAACTTATATAAGAGTTAGAATACATTAATAGTGAAAATAGATCAATTTTTACATCCGCACCGTCAAAAGTCAATTTCATTAAAAATTATATAAATGTCCACATAAGGCTAAAAAATTAAAGTTATTTTAATGTTTAAAATTTTTAAAAATTAACTACTTGCTTATATAAAGAAATAGTAAAAAAATTTCATTTTCATTCTAATTTATAATACATAGACGGAATTGTGATTTTATTTATAAACTAGATTACAAGCAGAATTTTGTGAGAAGGTCAGCATAGAAATGATAAAGGGAACCTAATAAACTATATATTTATTTTGTATATATTTTTAATGATAAATAAATTACATATTGTATTATAAATAATATATCGCATATTATAAATTATATTAGGAATATAAGAAAAAATTTATAATAATATAACAGGAATTTATTTACTTATAGCATTTAATAGCTTTACTAAGATGTGAAATATAGATTAAATTACAAGTGAGTAAAATTGTGACTATAAAAATAGAAATTAAAACAAGGAAAGATCGTCATCTCAATTAAATCGTTCATAAATTCGACCTTAAAAGAATAATAAAATGCCAGGTAATATTGATTTTTTAGGGTTATCCAAGTTATTTTCAATGACTGTTTATTTATCAATAGTATTAAATTATATTCTCAGTTTCATAAAAAAAAATATATATCATTATATATATTAAAGCTCAAATACCTGCAATAATTGAACCATCTGGACATATTAGACCCTATAGAAAGAGGCCAGAATTACTCTGACCCCATAGAACTGAGGACTCCCATTTGCTTCTATTCTTATAGATCTGTTAGGCCTATCCAATTAAACTCCAAACTCTAGAGCAAAAAGAACAGCTTAAAATTTTTAAATATTTAAAAATTCCTGTTAAAAAGGTGATTGAGATTATTTTATATTAACGTTTTATTTTATCATTTTTTTTTATTTTTATTTTGTTAAAATTTAATATAATTATGTAAATAAAATGTTGTAAAATTTAATAATAATAGGTAAATATAATTTTGTGACATATATAATATTTTGTTAACATTTGTAAATACAATTTTGTGACATATATACAATATTCTGTTAACACTTGTAAAATAAATTTTGTGACATATATACACTTATTTTGTTAACATAAAATACACTTTAATATTTTCTTTTCTTTCACATTTGGTCCTTTAAACCAATGAACACTACTCTAGGTTTCATTTCTTGTTCTTGATTAAGAGTAAGGTGCTGATCTCCTAGTCCTAATGTATTCAATTATAATTGTATATGGATTATCATTTTAAATTTACTGATTCCGATCACCAAATTTGGAGCTTCCTTGATGTATATAATGTGCCATCTTCTTTTTCACAGGAGAAATTTAAACGCATCTCACGCCTACAAACATGACATTTGGCTTATATTAAAATTGCCCTTCTCATCGCCGATTCTGTGATTAGGGGTTATCAGTCATTGAGAATATGAAGCGGAGGTAATTGGATTTTATTATATTGAGAATCTTTGGCGTAGGTAGTAACCCTCGTTGGGATCTTCGGTCCTAGTAGAGATCCGTTTCCCCAGCTCTTTAAAGAAGGCCAGGGCATGAGAGCCGAACAACGTTAGAGTCGTGGCGATTAGTGGTAGGAATGTGTAATTGGCCGGAAGCGATGGCGAATACTTAGCGAGTTTATTCGTCTCGGCGTCTACTAGAGCATCTCTATTTATATTGGAAGGGGCAAGGGGATCGATGCATGAGAAATCCTAGGTTAGGAATTCCTCTCTCTTCCAAGGGATCATGGTAGAGCCATCGGGACGCTTACCATCAGAATTGTAGAGTCCAGTAGGTTCGAGGGTTGATGGGATACCGGCAGATTTTAGGGCCCTGGCAATAGTATCATTGCATTTTGAATGTCTAATGAATCTGCCTCTACAGCGCTTGCAGTGTAAAGAGTGACGGCCTTTGGAGTTGACCGGCGTTTGACAAAGGATGCAGTGATAGGGTATTACCACATCACAATTAAGTCTTAGACCGATGGCGTAACGTAGCTCATCGTTGCTTAGGAGCTGGTCAAGGTTTCGCGATGGAAAAGCTTCGAGAAATTCATACCCGCTGTCTGCGGAAATGGAGAAGAGTAGAGAATGGTCCTCGGGTTGGCTCCTCGATTTAAGGTATGCAACGGAGTTGCCAACTAGAGGCTTATCCCAGTTCTTCTGCAGTGCCGATGAGGGAGGATCGACTAATGAAAGAGATTTCCATAGATCAATTGCCTGGGGAAGTAAAGGGTCAGGATGTTTTGTGAGTGCGTGTATGATGGGCTCGCAGGACAGGCGAGAGGATATGAACGCACTAACAGAGAGTAGGGAAGGCGATCGTATGCCAATGCCGCCGGATTTGGTTGGCAAGGTGGCTTGTAGCCAAGATAGGTCTCCGAATTTGAGATTGAGTATATCCTCTGTGAGATGTTTAATCTCTAGCTCGTGTGCAGCGAGGTTGACTTCGTATTGGAAGATACGTGACGATCGGAGTGTATATAGAATTTTTGGGATTAGGAGGTAGTTCTTTAATAGAAGGAACGCTTGGTGGGCTGGGAGGCGAGATAGTGTACCGCGCATAAGGGATATCTCTAGTAGAGTGTCGGCGAAGAACTTGACAAAGGACTCGTCTTTACCCACTGGAGATCCAAGATGTGTTAAGAAGTTCAATGGTGTATGATTGAACGAAGGATCATAGTTAAGGTCGATGATTCCAAGAGGACAATATTCGCTTTTGTCTTGATTGATTCGCAGTCCCAAACTGCTCTCGCTGGATTTTATTATTTCGACCGCCTTCATAACTTTGCTGGGTGAGCCGCCTAGTATACCATCGTCGATATACCAGTTATGAAGGTTTAGTTTACATTGGTCATTTATGCCTTGTATTAGGCTATTAATGCCCAGACAGAATAAAAAGGAGCCTAGAGGGTCACCTTGTTGTATTCCACTACTAGAAGGAATCAATCTATCTCCAAATTGAAGATGCGATGGACTAGCATAACAATCGAAGACGAATTGCGAGTATTCTGGCTAAAGGGTAAGGATGGGATTAAGAAACGCTGAACGTTTTAGAGAGTTAAAAGCGTTTAAAAAATTTATTTTAATTAGGATATCGTCACTGGGGTCTGTTTGTAGATACATTCTGGTCATGTGTAGGGATACCTCACATCCCCCTTTTACGTTGACTCCTAATTAATTAGGGCACAGGTGATTGGATACTGTGAACAATATTCTGCTCACTACTAGCTTTGCGGTTAATCGGCGCCAAGTGGTCCCAATAGCGATAGGTCGAATATCTTTATTATGTTTATGGAGGGCGATGAGTTTAGCTCCATAAAGGAGTGGAATAATGGCGGGTGGTAAGCCTCCAGCAAGCATACGGTTGATGAGTTGAGTAATTTTTTCCAAAACGTAGCATTGTTGTGTGATGTAAGGTGCGGTTAGATCCTGTAGGAATATTGGGCGAAACCCATCAACCCCCGGTGAAGAATCACGTTTGAAGGAGAGAATAGCATCATTATTTTAAAATTAATTTATTTTGACAATTGATATATTTTTCTTGATATCAATTTTAAACGAACATTTTTCATTTTACATAATTGGTTTGACGATTTATTTATATATTGTTAAAAAAAGATATAAAAAGAAAATTGTTTTTCGTTAAAGGAGATAAGATATAATTTATAATAATAAAAGAAAAAGAAAAATGTGACTTATTTTATTATTAATATTGTAATAATATAAAAAAAAGAATTAATATTAATTCTATGTTAATTTTTCAGTTATGTTTTATCTTATTTTAAAATTACATATTAATAATATATCAATGGTCTATAAAGTCTATTTGGACAATAAATCTTTAAGGTAAAATGTTAAAATAGAATGAAATTATTTAATAAAAATTAAAATAAATGTTTTAAAATTTTGAATATTATTTATATTAAAAGTTTGTAAAACTAGATATATTTAGATTCGTCAACAATTGATATAAAAATTTAACTAAATATATTTTATATTTTTAAATAAAATTAAAATATTATAACAAATATAATTTTTAATAAAAATCTATAACATTTGTATAAATTAAGTTTAATTATTGTGGTTATACACAATTTTATTTGAGAAAAATGAGGGAATTTACTATTCAATATGTGAGAAATTGCCCCTTATATAAATAAATGATTATTAAATTAAAGAATATATGCTCAAAACTTATTATTGATAATCAAAGATGAACAATTGTACTCTACTTTTTCTTGATAAACAGTTTTTATATATATATATAATGGTTTGTCTAAAAATAATATTATATTTTACTATCTCTGTCGATCTTCATTTCTAAATTAAATATAGATATAATATATATATAAACGGATTAAGATTTAAGTAATTATTTTATTCAAAAATATATAATTAATATATTAAATTTATTAATTACTGAAAGAATCAAGCCAATTAACTGGAAAATAATTAATGTATGTTAGTTTAATAAAAAAATTAGATATAATTTCAAATATCCTGAAAATAGGGTTTACTATGCCAGGATATTTTGTGCATTGAATTTATATTATCTGTTACTATTACACCATAATTTAAACAAATTTTCGATTTACATTATATTTTTAAACTCGTATCAAAAAATTACAAATTACACCTCTTATCAAATTAAGAGATATAGCTTATCCTTTATTCTTTGACGAGCTATTTATTGGAGGCACATTATATTTGATTCATTTTATAAAGAAATATATTTATATATAATTTTATTTTTACAATTTTTTTTGTACAATAGTAAATAAATTTATTTATATATCATTCAATTTATATTTTATTAATATTTTGGGATTAATCTCTTTAATTCCCTCCATACCAAATAAAGCATTAATGATATTACCTACACATTCCAAATCTTTTTTATAAAAATAATTTATAGAAATTAAATAATTTTTAAGAATATTTTGAACTATTCAAATAAAGAAAAAGTAAGTTTTAAACATTAAATTTAAATCCTACATTTTTTAAAAAAGAATGTACAAAACAGAAAAATATTTTGGACATAATTTCAAGATAAAATAAAAGGTTTATGTACAAGTAAAGTTTGATCAAATAAACTATTAAATAAAATTTAATAATTATTTAATATAATTAAAGAAATTTTTTAACTCATTATATAATTTTATTTTGATAATATTTATAGTAAAATTTTTTTAAAAAATGATAAAACATTAAAATTAAACAACTATATAATGTAAAAATATATAAAATTGCTAAATAAAATTATATATTAATAGTATCGAAGGCTCTAAAAAGCGCTTAATTTAATAAAGAAAATAAACCTAAAAAACAAGTATAATTGTGTTTAAAAATTTCCAATTGAAGTTTTTGTTTAAGAAATAAGGATTTGCGATTTTCATTTGTTATGCTAAAAATTTGCGTGATAAAGTTTTTAAAAAAATATATGTTGACTGTGACGCAATGGCTTAACCAACACCCCCTGATCCAATATGAAATCCCTTATTTGGGATGCAGCCTGGATATCATCCTTTCTTCATCAATTAATACAAACCCTCTTACTTGTCGGGAAAATAAAAAAATTAATAAATATTCAAAATTAAATAACTTTATATTTCAGTCAATAGTCATTTCAACTAATGGCAATTTTTCACAGTCTACATATATTTTTTAAAAATTTAACACGAAATTTTTTTAGCATACAAACGAAACGAATTCTTCGCAAAAACATCAATTGAAAAATTTTGTAACACAATTATACCTGTTTTTTAGGTACTTCATTAGTAAATTAAGCTTTTTTTAGAGCCTTCGATACTATTAATATATATTTTTATTTAGTAATTTTATATATTTTTACATATTTTTATATAGTTGTTTTAATATTTTAGTTTTTTATCATTTTTTTTTTAAAAATTATACCAATATCAATATTATTAAAGAAATTAATATGAAAAATTGTGTGTATAAATTTATAATAATGTCGTATTTTTTTTTACCCGCTAGTTTACATTTCACTAATAGATAATAAATATTTTAGATTTATTAAAATTGCGAGGTAAGCGGTATCATGTTATAAAATAAATATAATCTTAATTAGTATTTTTCAAAGAAACAAATCTGGTAGATTGGTAAGGGCTTAATGTGATGTAATATTACACTTTCAATATTTTATATAATTTATTTAGAAAAAGAGAAAATGATTTCAAAGGTAAACAACAAAATTCTTTCATTGAAGAATCTTTCTTTATCTGATACCTCTTTTTTTCATTATCTGGCATGATTTGAATTTAGAATATATATATATATAGATATATAGCTATTATTTGGTTCCAAAATTGGAATATATTTTATAAAAGAAAAACTCGGAACAAATATTAGTCTTTTTTGGAATTATATATGTACCCGACACGTCAAAACTTCAAAATCAATTTATTTTTAATTAATTATAAAAAAAAACAGAAAAATTTTGTTATTTTAATTTTGTACAGAAAATCTTATTATTTACCCCCTTTAAAATATTTATAATATAAATGACTAAATAAAATAATATATTTTATTTTGTTAGGTAGATAATGTAATAAATGTTAAGATTTTTTTAAGATTATAATATGTTTTTCCATTTTTATTTATAAAATTTATAATGGAATTTAAATCAAATTTTTTTGCTTTTTCTTTTTTAACATTTAGTATTATTATATGATTTAACCGTTGTTGTTTCATGGTAGAACGTTAGATTTAAGATGTGTTAGTCCTAAAAACAATCGTTCTGCAAAAGAATCTATGGGAATTATTAATAACATCTTAATAAATCGTGCATAATAATTTTTTAACTTACTTAATTTTTAAAGAAAGATAATGTATATGTCTATAATATTTATTAACTGACCCGAATTGATGATGTGATAAATTCGGGCTTCTTCGAACCCTAAAGTCTTTTTTTTCTGTCGATTAAAATAAGGCTCCTCTAAATATATTTCTTTAGCTTTAAATTAAATTCTCCCCAATACTTATCAAAACAGTCACAAGAATTTTGATCTAAATTTCTATTATATTTAACATTCTGAAAATATAATTAATACCTTTGGATTTTAGCATTTAAAACTTATACTCTCTCAAATATTACATTTTTAAGAAATAAAAATTTGTCAAAAAACTTATTTCTATATAATAGATTTTGACTTATAAACTGAATTATCATTTTCATCTTAAATAGAACGAAATACGCATTTGTTAAGGAGAATATCGAACAAATAATAAATCTTTTATTGATACTATTAATTGTGAATTTCCTATAGTATTAAAGGAATCTTGTATTAAAAGATTTAATACTTGCACAATTTACATAGATTTCTCTAGATTTTTCATTATGAGGACACGTTTGTAAACCATATATCTATTGATAATGTTATTCTATCATAACATTAGCCACTGCATTTTATGATGTCTAAGGAATGTCTAAGTAAATATATGTTTGATTTTGATGTATAAATATCTGAATATGTTTCCAATAATTAATAAAATACTAAGAATATTTTATTATTATCCTCATTCATATATGAAAACATATCCAACGCGGCTCTTTTATAGATATATCCAAGTTTCATCTGCGATTATAGGTTAGAGTGCAGCAGATTTTATAGGTTTCACAAATATCATTTGCAGCTCGTAAGACATGGTGAAAATTAGTAGAGCAAATAATAATTTTTTTTAACTTGGATCCAGAAAATAAGTCCTATATAAGGGTTTTATAAGAATTAAATCTGTCTAATATATACGTTTTTTTGCCATTTTATATTATTGTGAAAATTTTTCAAAATAATTTTCATCAAATGAAGGGGAAATATCTGATTTACCCATCATTCTACTGGTTATCTCCTGATATTTATATGAAATTCATGAATACATATTAAAGTACCATGTCTTATAAAAATCAGTGAAATATGTTCATCCTAATTTTAAACAAACCACCACTCCCCCAAATAACAAAAGATTTATTACATAAGCACAAAATATTAAAAAAAGTTAAGACATTATTAAATTACAATAGAAAAAATAAAAAAGATATTCTAAGTTAACAAATAATAGGAGGTTAACTTAAATTATAGTTATTTATAAGTAAAACAAAAATTATATGAATAATATACTTTCAACAATTATGAAGTGATGAGAAAAAATACAAAACAAAATGCATGTAGAAAGGCCAAATCATCAGAAAAGATATGAGAGGTATTCAGTTGAATACATGCATAACATGGAATATCCTATACGATATTCAATATGATAATAAATAGCAAAATTGTAAATATCAGCTATGCTAACCAGGGATGTGAACCCTTCAACAAAAACATGGTCCAGGTCCTAATTCGGGTACAGTAAAAAAATTTAAAAACCGTTTAGGTTCAAGGTTCTAATCCGAATTCAGGGAACATAAAAAAAAGAATCAAAATAAGACTTTTTTCATTCATTTATTATTATACTTCAATATATACACATTCATAATTTACAGATAATTTAAAAATGAAATAATTTATATTTAAAATAGTTTA